TTGTAATGAAACAATATTGAGAATGATAAATATGAATGATATAACCTTGTTTCTCAAGCTGTGTTACTTTTATTCTGCTTCGACTGAGTATGCCTGTATGCTTCTGATATTGCACACATTCTGTTGGATGAGATATATATATATATATATATATATATATATATATATATATATATATATATATATTTTAAGGAAAGTACCCTGCCTGAAGGTTCCTTATTTGTTTTAGTCTGAAGCAAAATAAGTAAGAGGTCTTCCGAGCCGGACACTTAGTGTCCAAGGCGAATGAATTACTCCCTGGCGCTGAGCCTGAGGGATTCCCCGGCGCTGAGCCGGAGGGAGGTTGTGCCGAGCTGAACACTTAGGGTCCGAGGCGAATGAATTACTCCCCAGTGCTGAGCCTGAGGGAGGTTGTACCGAGCCAGACACTTAGTGTCCGAGGCGAATGAATTATTCCCTGGCACTGAGCTTGAGGGAGGTTGTGCCGAGCCGAACACTTAGGGTCTGAGGCGAGGTTTTGCTGAGCTGGACACTTAAGGTCCAAGGCGAATGACTTACTCCCTGGCGCTGAGCTTGAAGGAGGTTTTGCTGAGGCAGACACTTAGGGTCCGAGGCGAGGTTTTGCCGAGCTGGACACTTAAGGTCAGAGGCGAATGACTTACTCCCCGGCGCTGAGCCTGAGGGAGGTTTTGCTGAGCCGGACACTTAGGGTCCGAGGTGAGGTTTTGCCAAGCTGGACACTTAAGGTCCGAGGCGAATGACTTACTCCCCGGCGCTAAGCCTGAGGGAGGTTTTGCTAAGCCAGACATTTAGGGTCCGAGGTGGGTTGGTTTCTCCTCGGCGTTGGGCCTGAAGAGAAGTTTGAAGATATATATATATTCTTCTTTTCGTTCGTTTTTTTTTTTTTTTTTTTTCAAACAACTTGCCGAGGATTCAAAAATGATAGGAGGCCAAGAAAGCAAGTAACAATGGCTGGGAAGTTTCCTATTTGTTTATTTTGGAGACTTTCCTCCATTGATACTCCCTTCTTGGCAACCATATGTGATGGACTACGCATATATCAATCACATTTCCCTTCTATTTTTATCCGATGTGGGACATAAACTATATTTTGTCAAAAAAAAGTCGGTGTAAGTAATGCCTCTGGTATTGAACCTGACAGCCTTTCATACCAGTGGGCCCTCCTTACACCGCAATCAACTATTTAAATATTCCCATATATAACAGGATGCAACTCATACTTTTTTGTCGATGTGGGACAGAGACTTTTAACCGTGGGTCAAAACAATGTGGGACAGAGAGTTTTAACCGTGGGTCAAAACGCATGCTTTTTAATAACTTGCTTCCAACATTGCTTTGCATAAAAGCATGAAATTACATAACCACAGTGTAGTATGAAAATTTAAATTTCTTTGCATAAAAATTGCTAATGCATAACGCGACGCAAAATTGCATAATCATAGAATGGTGGTATGGCCCCCATTTTTATGGAAAGAAACAAATAAAAACAAAGAAAAACTTGGCTGACTGTGGGCTTACGCAGCCTTATTTGTAAAGAATTCCTAATAAAATTGACGAACTTATCTAATGGAAATACCTTTTAAGGTGTATTGCATTCCAAGGACGCGCAATGGGACGTCCGTCAGCTTCGGCCAGACGATATGCTCCCTTCCCTACTTATTCGGTAACTCTGTAGGGTCCGGTCCAATTAGATTCCAGTTTCTTGACATAAGCTGTCTCTTGCTTCAAACCCAATCGCCTACCGCAAAGCACCGGAATCTGACACGTTTGTTATAATTGTTGCGCAGCTGCTGCTGATATGAAGCAAGCCTAATTGCTGCAGCATCCCTTTTTTCATCAAGGAGATCGAGACTATCTTCGAGCTGCTGACTATTGTTTCTTTCAAGCAACAAGGATGTCCGAAGGGTTGGAACCGCTGCTTCGGTTGGAATCACTGCTTTGGATCCATAAGCCATGGCAAAGGGGACTCTCCCCCGTGGACCGCCGTGGTGTGGTTCGGTACGCCCAAAACACCTGAGGGAGATTCTCGTACCATTTCATTTTGAGTTTCTCCAGCTTCTTCTTTAAACAACTGAAAATGGTTCGATTAGTTATTTTAGCCTGTCCATTCCCTTGTGGATGACTGACTGCAACTAGCTTTTGTACAATTCCATGTTCAGCGAAGAATTTTCTTGTACTTCTATTGTCGAGGTTTTTACCATTGTCCATCATAATGACTTTTGGGACCCCAAACCGGCAAATGATATTGTTCCAAAGGAAAATTTTTACCTGCTCATGGGTCACACTTGAGTAAGCCTCGGCTTCTACCCATTTAGTGAAATAATCTGTAGCCAGTAGCGCGTACTCCTTTTATTCCACAGTCTTAGGTAAAGGACCTACCATATCAATCCCCCATTGTGCAAATGGCCATGGATTTGCCATTGCATGCAAATCTTCGGCAGGTTGATGCTTCATGGGACCGTGGCGTTGACATTTGTCACACCTCCGAGTATACTCTTCTGCATTCCGGGCCAAGTACGGCCCGAAGTAGCCTCGAGTTAGAACTTTATGTGCATGGGATCTACCCCCAGAATGGTTGCCACAATATCCATTATGGACTTGTTTTAACACCACAAGAGCCTCAGCAGGGCTTAAACATTTCAGGTAAGGACCTGAAAATGACTTTCGGTATAACTGATTGTTAATGATGGCATATTTAGCTGCGGTGAGTCAGAGCTTTCGTGCTTTGGACTTTTGGTTTGGAAGAATTCCATGCTTGAGGTAGGCTTCCAATAGATCAATCCAGCATGGTTCTCGAGGAACAACTAGAATCACTATTACCTCCTGTTGAGGATTAACGCTGGGCTCGTCCAGGACGTCAATCGGCACAATCCGAGTCAGTCTCCATTTAAGGATGACGCTGCTGTAGCCAATTGATCTGCTTCGGCATTCTCAACACGAGGTACCTGACAGAATTTGATTTGATCGAATCCCCGTGCAGCGTTCTCTACAGCTTTTTTATATACTTTCATTCTTTCCTCTTTGGGATGGTACTGAACTGTCACTTGATTTATAACAAGCTGTGAGTCACTAAAAACCTTTAAACAACGTACCTGGAGGCTGCTGGCCAATCGAAGACCAGCAAGTAATGCCTCATACTCGGCCTCATTGTTCGTAGCCGGGAACTTCAAGCAAATAAATTGCTGCAACTTGGTGCCTTCGGGTGTTGACATTACAACCCCTACTCCCGCACTTGATTGATTCGAGGAGCCATCCACCCGAAGCTCCCACTGTGGTTCAGGGTGCACCGGCTCTTCGGGAATGTCTTCATATTCGAGAAGAAAGTCTACTACGGCTTGTCCCTTGTGCGATACCTTTGGCTCATAAGTTATGTCGAAGGAACTAAGCTCGATAGCCTATTTGATAATTCTCCCAGATAGATCAGGCTTAGAGAGTATACCCCGTATAGGATAGTTGGTGAGTACCACAATGCTGTGAGATTCAAAATAATGCCGAAGCTTCCTCTTGGCATAGACTAAGGCGAGGATGATTTTTTCTGCTTTACTATATCATGTTTCCGCATTCGTCATTGTCTTACTTGTGTAGAAGACTGGATATTGCCTCTTTCCTTCCTTTCTAATCAATGCTGCACTTGTCGCTATATTAGAAATTGTCAAATACATCATAAGAACCTCCCCGGGTTTTGGAGCGGATAGAATTGGTGGCTCGGCTATGTAACCTTTCAACTGATTAAGGGCTTCCTGCTGCTGAGGTCCCCATATATCTTTATTCTTAGACCGTATAGCATCGAAGAATGGTTTGCACTTATCTGACAATCGGGATATAAACCGGCTGAGGGCTGCGATCCGACTAGTAAGAACCTGCACCTCCCTGCGATTTTTTGGTTCCTGATTCTGGATGAGGGCCTTAGCCTGAGCCGGACTTACCTCTATCCCTCTCTTATTCACTATGTGGCCGAGGAATTGACCTGATGATACCGCAAAGGAGCACTTGGATGGGTTCAGCTTCATGTTGTACTTCTTCAAGGTATTGAAAACTTCCTGTAGATGCTTCGGATGATCTTCCTTCTTCACACTTTTAACCACCATGTCATCTATATATGCTTCAACCGTCTTTCCCAACAGATTATCAAAGATCTTGTTGACAAGACGTTAATAAGTAGCTCCAGCATTCTTCAGTCTAAAGGGCATGACCCTGTAACAATAAGTCCCATTTTCTATAATGAAAGCCGTTTTTTCATCATCTTTGGGGTTCATAGGAATTTGATTGTGTCCCGAGTATGTATTAAGGAATGTCAGCCTCTCGTAGCTAGTGGTAACATCAACCATCTGATCTATCTTGGGCAGAGGGAAGCTATCTTTAGGGCAGGCTTTGTTAAGGTTGGTATAATCTACACAAACCCTCCACTTTCCATTCTTCTTCTGTACGACCACCACGTTTGACAGCCACTGTGGATATTGCACTTCTCGAATGAAACCTGCTTTCAATAACTTGCTCACCTCTTCAGGTATAATGCAATTGCGTTCGGGGGCAAACCTTCGGTGTTTCTGCTTAACTAGTTTGAACTCCGGATCTAACTTCAGAATATGGCAGGAAACTAAGGGATCAATCCCTATCATGTCCGAGTGATCCCACGCAAAAGTATCTGCATTGCTCCGGATAACATCAATTAACGCCTCATTTTCTTCGGTCGTGGGGGAAGAGCCTAAATAAATAACTTTCTGAGGATCGCCGGGGATAACTTCAAGGGTTTCCTCGGCGGGCTTCGCGATTTCCTCCTCCTCCTCTACCTTAAGATACTTGGGCAGAGGGCTCTGTAATTGCTATTTGGGTACGGTTTTGGAAGCCACACCTGGCTGCTGTCGAGTAGACACCTTCTTTCCTTCAGCTTGTGTCAACATATAACATTCCTTTACCGCAACTTGATCGCCCCATAGATTAATCACTTTTTTCCCGTCCGGAGATAAGCACCGCATCACCTAGTGAAGGGTGGACGGAACTCCTCTCATCCGGTGTATCCAGCCTCTTCCCATGATGAGATTATAAGAAGGATGGATATCTGTTAAAACAAAGTTCTCTTTCAGAGTCTTCTTCGCCGCGGTTACAGACAAGTCTATTACTCCAAGGGGATCTACTTTTGTGCCATCGAATCCCATCAACGGGCTGGAGGTAGGTCGAATAGATGATGACGGGACCTCTAGCTGCTCAAAGATCATCTTTGTGATTATGTTGGCGCTACTTCCTGGATCTATCAAAACCCTCCTGATCATACAATTGGCCACTAAAAGACTGATGACTAATGGATCCTCATGGGGGAGTTGAACTCTGGATAGGTCGCCATCTCCGAATCCAATACTGATACTACCCAAAGCGATTGCATTGACTAAGGATATCTTCCTGAGCTTGTGGGTTGCCCTCAGTCTGGATCTGTATACCCCCTCGGACTCTTGATCATTTTCAGACCTGCCATGTATTGCATGAATGACTTTTATTTGCATACCTTCCACCTTGCGGGGATAGACCTCGCGGGGCTTTGCATACTCCTTTGTCATAAGGTAATCCGCCAACTCACCTCTGGCGATCATATTCTCCACCTGTCGCCTGAGGGATCTGCAATCATTGGTTGAATGCCCATAATCTCGATGATAGGCGTAATGCTTGCTTTTGTCCCTTTGCTCTAGGGGTTGTTTTATTGGCTGCGGAGTTGTGAACCTCATCTTATTCTTTGGAAGAGCCGAGCCAAAGTAGTTCGGAGAGGTGTAAATCCTTCCTCTACTCTTTGCCTCTTTTCAGGTGCCTGGGTGATCGGCGTCGAGGAACGTTGGCTTTTCTGAATCTTTGGAGTTGGAATTCTTTCTCGAGGCTTGTTCTCCACCATCACGAGGGTGGCGTGCTGTGCTCGGTGGGCTATATTTTCCTCGAGCCGAATGTAGATCTGAGCCCTGGTATTGAGAGTCTGCATGTCGGGAGGACAGTACTTGACTAAGGAAGTGTGGAACTTCGTCCCCTGAATCATCGCAAGTTTAAATGTCTCTATAGCAGTTGCAAGATGACAATCCGCTATTTCTGAGGCTTCCATGTTGAATCTTGATAAGAAATCCTGCAATGTTTCCCCCTTCTTTTGCCTTACGATGAAGAGGCTGGCAATGCTCTTCTTTTGTTTCTTATTTCCGGAATACTATGCCAGGAACATGGTGCACAGAGTTACATAATCCGGGATGGACTTATGCGGTCTATTATTGAACCACTCTAGTGCTGCTCTTGTCAAACTGGTAGGAAAAACTCTGCACATCCAAGGATCATTACGATCATCCAAAGCCGTTTTTTAAGCGTAATGATCTAGGTGCCTGTGGGGGCAAAAATCTCCCCTTCCAATTAAAACAAGACACATCAGCATATAAGGGGACCACCACAAATACTGAGACTATTCAACCTTCAAATTGGCCTCTACAAGAAGCTTGGACCATGTTAACTAAGCATAATGGGCTGAACTTATTAAGAAGGCCCAAGATGATAAAACCCCAAGCCCAATTACGAATATGTTACTAAACCCATTTTTAGTAACAGTTCTATTAGAAGAAGAATTATCATCTATGGAAACCAAATAATGTAAATCTTTGTTATAAGGAAAGTATGATGTAATTCAGATTTTCAAGGGACAAGCAATGGAAGTCCTAAAAGGAATCGATTATGATTTTTCCTATATAAAAAGGGCTCAGGACCCTCAATAAGGGGACAGAGAAAAAAAAAGGGCAAAGCCCCCCAAAAAAGAGAGATCCAATTCTCATTGCCAGAACTACATTTCGACCTGATTCCTATGCTCCATGCGGGATACGTAGGCAACCTAGGTAATCCTAGGTTCGGTCATATCATCAAAATATCCCCTCATCTCTATATAATTTCTTTAGTTCATTGTTTGTTCTATATTATTAGTTTTGGTGTAATAATTGTAGAGAATTCGTTGACTTGTCAAAGTTGAGCGAATTTTTGCACTTACACTTTGGCGCCGTCTGTGGGAATCGTATAGAAATATATCCCCACCAAAGTTGCGACACTTCAGATTAAAATCTCCAAGTCCAGCAACATGATTTGAAATTAAAATCTTCAAGTCCAGGATTTGAACCCAAGTCCTCTCCAACAACGACTCTCATGGCTAAAGGTCTCCATGTAACAAATGCTGACGCGTGTGTTTGCCCTGGTAATCAGATGTCTATCCGAGCCCAAAAAGCCATAAATTAATCAGATAAATATATAATTTTGATTTCTTATTAATTTTGATTATATATATATAATCTTGAGCAACAAATCCAAACATGTATAATTATTATATAAGCGCTAGCTAGAAGTGATTAATTAGTCTTGCTTTGCTGCTGGCGTATTATTATTTGAGTATTACATCACATGAACAGAGGGTTTTGGGTGGACCAGTATGTTAAATCTCAGTTATTGGGCAGATTGCCCAAATTTTTGCTAACAACTAGTATGATCTCATAAACGTATTCTTTTACTGCAAAATATATTTGTTGGTTCATACTAATCTGAACTCAAGATTGTTAAGTCGAGTTGATCTTCAGAACTCAAGTCTGTAACTTAACCATCAGGTTAATAAAAAAAAAAAATTTTAAAAAAATAATAATAAGTTCATGTTTTTGAAGAAACTTGAATTAGCCGGAACCTTTTTTCCGGCGATTTCTTGCTGCTTTTGGCCATAATTTCTGGGAATCCCAAACCTGACAGTGATCCCTATAGAACTGTGTAAAGAATTAGAAAATCGATTAGGGTTGGGAAACATTAATATGACCAACGTTTTTGTCAATTTGCCTAAAATTCAGAAGCTTACTTTCGATGCATTTTTTGTGAAGTTTTTGGCAGCAGATACTTGAAATTTAAAAGGGTGCTACGTGGGTCCGAAGAAGCGTGTTGTCACCTTGAGGCAGTCTCTGTTGACACAGACATCAGGGTTGCCTTGGAGGAGATTAAACTCAAATTCATTGATACACACCGGAATGAGCTTTTTTGCAATGGACATCTTAATCTCGTCTTAGAGCTTGCTATCCGGTATGACGCACACTTTGCATTCAAACCAACCATCTTCACCCATCACCGTCCTTTTCACCGGCCGAGTTCAGCCGAAATTCGCCGAAATAGAATCCATCCTAGCCGTTTGCCATCAAGCCTTGCCACAGTCGCTGGCCATCACCATCCTTTTCACCGGACGAATTCAGCTAAAATTCACCGGAATAGAATCCATCCGAGCAGGCTGTCATCAAGCCCAGCCACAGCCACTGCCTATCGCCGTCCTTCTCACCGGCTGAGTTCAACCGAGTCGCCGTCGCTGCACCGACATCAGGCCCATGCTCGCCGTTGCTCTCATCTAATCTGTCGCGAACCGCCCTCATCTGAGCCGTGCACAGTTTGACGCGGCCTCTTCACTACTCAAAAATTGATTGAATATCACTTGAGCTCCATTAGCAAAATCACCAAATTGAGCTTTCCAAATTTCCAATACATTTGAATTTTCCATTGAATAACCCAATTCAAATCCTACAGCACCAAATTCTGAAAGAGAGTTGGAAGAGAAAGAAAATAGTACTCGTAGTAGAAGCGAACCTTTGCTTTCTGGTTTTACCAGACCCAGCTTTGAATTTCCACTTTTCAGCGATTATCCTCTGTCAATCGGCTACTTTTTATCTTCAATGTGCTGGATGATAGTCAAGTTCAGAGGATTTGTTGCTTGGAATTTCACAAACTCCTGGCAATTATATGGTTACAAGTTCTGGAATTTGAACTGGGGTGTGAAACAAGTTTTCGGCTCTAGCATGGCCAAGAAAGTTCTTGCACACAAGAGACATGTTGGTGGGTTGGAGGCTACTCGAAATAGTTTGGAGCTGCCAGCGGCAATGTACCAATGGAGAACAATTCTGCAAGCAAATATCTAAAGTTTTCTAAAAAATTCTTAAAGGTATTCTAATGATTCAATCTTCAACCAAGGTATGATTGCGGAATTCCTCTCTTCAATTAATAATTTTCTCTCAATTTTTGTTATTGAATTAGAACCTAATTTCTAGTATAAATCAAGATGAAATAAGTGATATCTTTAATGAGGATATACACTAAAGAGAATAAATCTTGATCTAGAATTTAGTTTGACTTCCAATAAAAAACAGTTTATGGAAGAATTGCTCAAAAGGTTCAAGGATACCACGTCTCCTGAGATGAGTACTTCCTACGTACCAAAAATTCCATAATGTTGGTGAAACTACTAACCCATCTTCTGAAGAAGAGGATAAGAATAAAAAGGGGCTCCTAATAATTTCTAAAGACCATTCTGATTCTTATAGCTTTTCTAAAAATCATTTTCCCTATGAATTGTCTGGAAATAGTCAAACTTTAGAAGAACAATTTCAAAATACCCTTATTTTTTAAATAAACCATCAACGACCACCGTTGAGAAATTACTATCATCGTCCGACTCCTCTTGATCTTCAAATTGAAGAAAAGAATTTCCAATCTATACCAATCTTATATAAACGTGTAAAAGAGCTTATAAATTAAAGGTGTCCTTCCTTACCCATTTCAGATGATATAAAGATGTTTTTCTTTCAAAACGACACCAACGTCATGATGCCAATCATGATTTTTGGAGAGAGAGATTCATACCTAGGCTTCCTACCATATTTGCCGAAAAAGTGCGAACCCGTATAAGAACCAAATATAATTGTAATATGCCTTATGATCAATATACTTTTGGTGTAATAGTTTCTGAAGTCTGTGCTGGAGGTTTGAATCTATGCACTGATATCAAACTTCAAAACCAGTTAAAAAGAGAACGCAAAACTGGACAAACTGAATTAGGACAATTTTGTCATCAGTTTGGTTATGACATTTTAGCTAATCCCAACATCTCCTTCTAAGAAAATCCCTAGAAGAAAGAATAAATCTACATCTGTTTGCTTCAACATTACAAAAATATATGTCAAGCCAAAGAAAAATAAATGCTTCAGAAATAAATGATGAATTAAAGAAAGAAATCTCAAAATTATTTATTGTCTCTGATAATGACGATATATTCATCTTCATAAGAAAATTCTGCTGATGATTCTGATTATTCAGTAACTTCATCATATTTAGAATCCAATACTAATTGTGTTCCTTGCAAATCTAAATTAGATTACTACAAAGCAATTCTTGAAACTAATGGGTTACAAATAAATGTCCATCTTGCAATAAAGTTTGTATATAGTATGGTATGAATTCTCTGCAAATCAAGTTGCAGTAAATTGCAATTCTAGATTCGCGAGTAAATATGTGCCTTTGAAGCGTTACTTTTTAAATATTTAGTTTTAAACTCTAGTTCTTACCGCTTCTTTCCTATTGAGGATTGCTCTAGTTTATGCCAAATTCTTTCTTTGAATGCTTTGATCCATCAAAGATGCCACGTCGATGCTCGACGTTACAAACTTCAGCAAACTTATCGGCCCGGTATTTCAAACATCCCAGGCCTTTTCAGACACGAATCTCTCTAATTAGATAAGTTTCCCAACTTGATTTTTACAATCAGGGCTAAGCTTTTTGTGATAGAAATCTATATTAAAAATTAAATACATATTATATATATATATATATATATATATATATATATATATATATATAATATGTATGCACACATGATACAATTAGTCTTCGCACATTGCTAATACAAAGCTATTGGTAAGTA